GGATGTTAGATGTTTGTTAAACGCTTTTTCTGATCCACTGATGTGTCCTTATTTCTATTGATATGCTATATTAATTGACTTTGGGGTTTTAAACTAATCTTGTATTTCCTGCATTAACTCTCATCTGGTCATGGGGTATAATTTTTTTTTTTAATGTTACTGGATTTGTTAGTATTTTGTTGAAAATGTCCGTGTCTATATTCATAAGAGTTATTGGTCTATAGTTTTCTCTCCTTGTGATAACTTTGTCTTGTTTGGTTTTGGGGTAAAACTCACAAAATGAATTACAAAGTACTTGCTCCTTTTCTGTTTTTGAGAAGAGCTCGTGAAGAATTGGTAATTGGTACTAACGTTTGATTTAATTCACTGGTGAAACCAGAAAAGCCTGGGTTTTTCTTGATGAGAAGTTTTAAAATTACTAATGAAACTTCTTTCCTTCTTATAAATCTACTCAGATTTTCTATTTGTTTTAATTAAGTCTATTTCAGTTGTTTGTGCCTTTTCTAGGAATTTGTCCATTTCATCTAAGTCTTCTAATTTGTTGTCATACAATTATTTACAGCATTCTCATTCTCTTATAATTCTTATTTCCATAAGGTTCGTAGTATCTCCTCTTTCACGCTTGACTTTGAGTCCCACCCTCACCCCCACTCCATCCATGTAAAGACTTGCTGGTTTTGTTATAACTTTCACTTTCAGGCATTCTAATGCTTTTATCTAACTATATGTACACATGATTTTTCATTTTTTCATCTTCCCAACTTGGCTGAGAACTTACCCCACATGATGCTCAATAAGTGATTATGGACTGAATTAGAAATAGAACCAAGTCCAGACAGGCTAGGAGAATTGTGCAAAGTCATATAGCTATAGAGAATGGAATTCCAGGCTAGAATCCTGGTCTCTCAGCTCCAACACAGAGTATTCGCCTCTGTCTCATAATCCACTAGGATGTGGGAAAGGAGCTGGCTGGGTGGCAGCCAGGACTTTAGGGCCCCAGGCCATCTAGCAGCCACTCTCTAGAATCAAGCCCTATTGCAGGGTCTATTCAACACAGATTGACTGGACTCATTCCTGTGGCTTTGGGGGCATTGTATGGAAACTACTCTGGTACATACTTAATAGAAGGAAGAGCTGTGAGGTCACCAGAGCTATCTAAAAATGAAATCGTTTGTCCTAACAGGTGGTAGGTTCCCAGTTACTAGAGGAATCTATCACAGGCTACCTAGCTCCTTGCCAGGAATGTCAGAGAGAGAAACTGCACACTGGATGGAGCGAGAACTTGCTGGTACATGCAGTTATCTTTGCCAGGAACATTCCATCCCCTTTCCTTACCTGGTGAATTCTAATCCTTGAAGCTATTTGTCAGAAGCCATGGTTAGCAGCCTTGACATTTATTTTCTCCTAAACTTTGTACAGGGCCTTGATTATTGGTTCACGTGTCTGTCTTTGGGAAGACATGCCCCCAAACAGACTTTGGTGATGTCATGAGGACACTGTCGTACCATTTACCAAGCACAGGAGTATCTGCTGGACTAAATCAAACAGAGAGTCGAGCAGAGGTTCTGCTCGGGCCTTACATTCTTATGAGTTTTCTAAGATATTTCCATGTAGTTATTTCCCCCTGGGTTATCTGGCTCCTACAATCAAACCACCTTCACATCTTTAGCAAGGAAGAGGCTGAACAAATGGAAAAAATGTTCCATTTCTGGCTACGTGGGTCAGGGGAGTCCACCTGAGGAGGGGTGACATGGTCTCAATCCTTTGCAAATCCCTTTCGGGAAAGACCTTGAGACAAAGGATCCCCAATCACCTCTTCCATGATAAATAACATGGGCATTAGAGAGCTCAGCAAGTTGTTGCACGTACTGGGCCATCTCACAGCCAAGTTCATAACACAAAGACATCCCAGACCACCTCCTAGGAGTGGGGAGCTTGCTTACAGTTCTTGTGGGTGGACCAAGAAATAAATAAGACAGGGAGTGCTCATAGCACAGAAAAGTGCCTCCTTAAATTCAACAGGATTTTCAAAGAGATTTGAAATTGAAATTTTGATCACTTCTGCCTATCTGGGGATTAAGCATCTCTGTCATCAAAGTCTTAGCGGCTTAAAGTTCAAATAATTTCTTAACTTCTAAAGATACATTACAAAGGGCTCTGTGCCAGAAGAGTAAGTGAAAACGGGGCCAATTAAATTACTCTCTGGCAAAATAGCCAGAAGATTTTGAGGGGAATGAATTCAATTTAAGCGCTTATTGCATACGTGCTTTAAGAAAGAGCACTATGCTGTGTACGCGCTGAGCAGCAGCAAAAGATAGGTAGGACCAGACCCTTCAAACAAGGCAGAGTTAGGCTTTAAAACAGCCTTCCAAGAAGGTCGCCGGTGAAGGAAATTAAGGAAAATGTGGAGCCTCCATTATGGCCGTGTTTACACAGCTGGAACGAGGGAACTTCACCGCCCGTCGCGCAATAGCAGCGGCTCAGAAGGCGACCAGGGACTGGAGTGTGTCTGAGCCCCGCGGTCCCTGCGCAGCCGGTGCCTGGTGGACGCCGCGGGCGGGGGCGGGGGGTCTGCTCCCCCAGAGGCGCAGTGCACGTGGGTTTCCTTTTTTTCTTTCTTGAATCGTCTTTCACGACTGCACTAACATTTGGTCTGACTTCTCTTTTCCTCTCTGACTCTCTCCCTTCCTTGACAAAGACCATTTCTTTTTTCAAAGCCCCCAACTCCGAGGCTGCCATCTCGCTCGGGGAGCTGAGCACCCGCAGCCTCGGGGCAGCAGCGCCCCCTGCCGACCGCGGCCTGCCCCGCGGCCCGCGCCGCCGCCCTCCCGCCCGCTTCGGCCGCCAGGGGGAGCGGCCGGCCAGGCCAGCGCGCCGTGCACTTACTTGCCAGGGTGGTGACCGTGCTGATGTTCTGGTCGCCGCCAACACTGTTTCATAGGAACGAAGAGAGAAAATGGAGGTTTAAAATGCCAGCGATGCTGAAGCACTTCAGACACTACCAAGAAAGTCCTTTCTCCTGCGAAACCCTCGCGGGGGCTTGAAGATTGCCCTTGCCCCATCATACCCTTAGAAAAACTAAAAACCAAGCCAGAACACAGCTTCTCTCTCCTCTCCCCAACACCAGAACATCCAAACAAAAACCCGATTGAAGCTACATCCTGATTTTGTCTGACCCTGGGGCAGGACGACTCAGTTGGTCCCTGGCAACCCTGTCCACCAAAGGGAAAGGGACCCGTTTGGCCAGCTCTGTCTCAACCAGCCACTGCAGCTGGGCATTCACATTAGTAGGAAAAACACAGGGGGGGTTGGATTTGTTTTTGTTTTTAAGTTTGTCTTGTTCTTTCTTTTCCTGTGGGCTTGGAAGAGCCGTCTTAAAAAGGATGTTTTCTAGAGAGTAAGCCATCTTCCAATCCGATTCTAGAATTCCAAAGTGGGATTTTAGGCACAAAAATATGCAGGATTCCGAATTGACTGGATTCCCTGTTTTTTCATATTCCCTCACTCTTATCAAGCATGTCTGGGAACATATGACAGGTCCCACCAAATGTTTGAGGTTTAACTCTGCACAGAGACATGAGGGAGGACGCCAGAGACTCAGCACTCAGGGTCAGATGGTGATGCCAGATTCCTACCCTGCACCCGGTGGCCTTTTAGAGCACAGGCAAAGGGCAAGTCCTGTTCACTGCAGGCAGAGAAGGAATAAGCCTGCTGAAAGCAATACATGAGGGAAGGTACTGGTTTAACAGCTGAGAACTATCTGCTGTCTCTTGCTCTTTTGCCATCTTGCTGTGTGTTCTTGGACAGTTTACTTGCCCTCTCTGAGCCTTGTTTCTCATCTGTAAAATGAAGGCCTTTTAATAATGATACCAACTACCATTTCCTGCTTAGTGTCAGGGACTACCCTGGGCACTTAAATTCTCTCTAGCTTCAAACGGAGTATTAACAAATTCTGCATCAAAGATGAGGAGACCATCTCAGAGAGGTCAGGCTTGCCCACAGTCAAATATAGCCAGGGCTCACATACAACTCTGGTTCCAAAGGCAATGATCTGTTCATCATTCAGGACATTTCCTTCTTCTGAGATTACATCACAGAGGGAGAAATGGAAGCTAGAGAAGCATTTCCAACCCAAACATTTATGCTGTTTCTCCCCAAAACTCTTCCTGGTTTAGGTTTGAGCTCCTATTTAGGGGAATAGAGTGGTTTGGAGAAGCTGGTAAATACTTCAAACCATAAAGTTTGTCACGGAAGAGAAACAAGTGGCCCATTTTTCTGCTTAAAGTATTGTTTTCTAGAATGTGCAGGGGTCTTCCCTTGCTCTGAAATGAAAGAGATTTTGGGGTCTTGCCACACCCTCACTCACCTCCAGGACAGGCCTCGGTACTGAGTCAATACATCCAAGATGTTCCCAGGTGTGGACCCGGCCCCATTGCCTGCCTGAGAGGGAAAAACAAGGGAGTGAGTTTCCCTACTTTTTCTGACCCACCTCTGGCTGCCTGCCAGAAGGTCCATGTTCTTATCCTGGCCAGGACGCCTGGGTGCCCTGTAGAATCCAGGGTTTAGATGGCACCACAGATAGTTTAGATCTATCCTGACTGGATGACTGAGGGCTCCCACTGGGAATGCCTGCCTGGCACTGTACATAGCCCTGCCCTATTCTAAGAAACCTGCCTGGACCAAGACCAAGTGAAAAGAGCCTAGCAAAGTGCTCTGGAAATTAGGCTGCCATTTTCATGTTTCAAAAGGATGAATTTTAGAGTCTTATTTTTCTCATTATTTAAATCTGTGAAATATATTATAAAAGGAAACATATCATCATCTTTTTATACCAATAAATCTCATATATATACAGTTTAAAAAGTAGTAATGAAATGAAATCCTATGTCCCTCCCTTTCAGCAGAAGAAAGAGCACAATATGGACACACCCTACAGGTGCACGCTCCTTACTAGAGCACGCTGTTTCCCAGCAGAGCTATTCCAAAGGGCATGCTGAAGCCTGCCCTCCCAGGCAGCTGGAGTGAAGGCCGTCCTCCATGAAAGGCCCCCCAGGCTGTGATCCTACTCTTAGTGCCCGATTCCTTTGCTACCTGCCAGGTGGGTCAACCTCAAGGTACTGCTTCCTAGGAAGTCCTGAGCAGCTGTGCTCAGTCTTAATGACTCCCTATCCTGAGAGTATTTTAATGGAGACCAGAGTGTAGGTCCCCTCTAACCCTTGCCTCCTTCTCCAGAGGGGAGGTGACCTTAGGCCCCACCTGGCAGGAAGTGGTCAGGATTAAGCAGTGTGTGGAGGTGCTTCCTGGAAAGTTATAAGCCTTTGGGTAAAAAGTCGCTGCAGGCCACGGAGGAGGCCACTATTGTACAGGGACTGGGTCCTGGGTTTAGGGTCAGGGCCCCTGAGTCCTGACTTTGACTCCAGCACTTACAAGCTATGTGGCCTTGGGCGCTCACTCCACCTTGGCCAGCTTCACCTTCTTTCCTGGTTGAATCTAAGGAAAGCCATACTTCTCAGGGCTTTTTCATGAGGATAATGAGTGAGATAGCATCACTGTGAATAGGCCATGGGCATGAAAGGTGTCAGCTGGTCCTTGGGGAGGATTCAGCTGGAGGCCTTGCAATTCTACTAACCCAGGGATCTGTAACCAGTGGCTACTGAATGAAAGCTTGTGTCTGGGAACCTCGGAGTGCCCCTGCCCCCAGGTTCTCCAGAAGCACGATTCTGCTTTTCTTGGCTACCTCTTTGCAGGAGCCCTTTGGTGCAGCTGCAGAGGTGGGCTTGGGTCATCTCTAGCACTTCTGCCTCTTCCGCTGACTCCCATCTCCTCTCCCTCCCTACTGGTGCTTGGCTTGTTTCTGTCTTACTATCTCTTTGCTCCTCTCCTTGGTACCTTCCCTTAACTTTCCAACATCAACAAAAGCACTGGATCCTTTATGGAGTTCCCAATCCTGTTCCACCCCTGACAGGCTGGATGGCTCAGTCCTGTCACCCGTGCTTACTCTGGGGTCCCTGCTCTGTTGCGCTCTCCTCCACTCTAGCATTGGGTGAGGAAGACGAGCTAGGATGGGGGTGGGAAACCACAGTGGGCAGGGAATGGTGTCAAATGCCAGGGTGGGCTGGGAGGACAGAAGAGAACTGGAGCTCAGGACCCGGGATAGCAATGTTTAAGAGCTCCGAGTGAGACCCTCTCTCTCCACGTCTCTCTCCAGGTTCTCATATCAATCCAGATCTTTTCCTGTCCTGCCCTTCCTTCTACCCTCAGGGTCACTTACCGTGAGAGAGTCGCCCAAGGCTCCAATTACACTGATGTCAGCAGGCTTCAGCCTGTGAACTGAGAGTACAAGCAGGTATGAATGGAAAATGAGGTTCTAGGAAAGCCCTGGACCCATCTCCTCTGAAGACAAATGAATATCTTTCCAGGAGAAAGGTTAGTTTTTAATAGATAGACTCATACACTCTGGACAAAAGATAAGACAAAGCCATCCTTGTCGATAGGCTCAGCAAGACCAGCCGTGGAGCTGGACTGCTGGTCTCTTCTCTGGGGCACCTGGGTCAGGACATGGAAGGTGGATCCCACATTAAGAGGGGAACTGTCTGCACATGTTTACTGGGACCTGATGCTACACGCCTTTGGCAAGGTAGGGAAGGATTTGGGAGTAGGGAAGGAATTGTGGTGGAAACACAACCAATACTTTATTCTAGGATATGATGATATTTTGGATAAAAAATTACATCATCCTATAAAAAACATCAGTTCAGTTTATCTAAAGTGAAAAGGGAAACTCTTTTATACCACTGACTCCATTTTTTTAATTGATGTGAAATTCACATAGTGAGATTCATCATTTCAAAGTGAACAATTCATTGGCATTTAGTACATTCACAATGTCATGCAATCATCACCTCTACCTAGTTCCAAAACACTTTTATTACCCTCAAAGGAGAGCCTATGCCACTAAGCAGTCATTCCCCATGACTCCCTCCCCCAACCCCTGGCAAGCAATAATCTGCTTTCTGTCTTTATGGAGTTACCGGTTCTGGATATTTCATGGAAATAGAATCATTCAATATATAGCCTTTTGGGTCTGGTTTCTTCTACTTTGCATAATGTTTTCAAGGTTCGGCTGTGTTAATAGCACATGTCAGTACTTCATTCCTTCCTATGGCTGAATAATAGTCCATTGTGTGGATATACAACGTTGTTCATCCATTCATCTTTTGATGGGTATTTGAGTTGTGTCCATATTTTTGGCTGTTATGAATAGCAGTGCTGTAAATCTTTGTGTACAGGTGTTTGTCTGAATGCCTGTTTTCAGTTCTTTTGGGTATATACCTGAGTACGGGATTGGTGGGTCTTAGGGTAATCCTATGTCTAACTTTTGGGAGAATTCATCAAACTGTCCCCACAACCTGACTCCTTTCTTTTTTAAATCTCTTGAGTTAAGCACATACTATGATGTGGCAGCTATTAACTCATAAGACAAACATATTAAACACCAAACAATGGCTGGATACTCTGGGGACTACACAGTGATCAGAAATGGAGGAATCCCTCAAGAAGTTCACAGACTAATAAGTGCTAAGAAAGGTATAAAGTGAGATGAAGTTTTAGAGCTGGAGAAATGATCTTTCCCTGGGGGCTTAGGGAGTAGTCAGAGAAAGCTTCAGGGAAAAGGCAGCATTTGAATTAAGCTTCAGGAAATAATGAGATGAGGATGAGGGAGAGAGAGACGGGGTGATGAGGGAAGGCCAGACGTGGTATGGTAAAGAGTGTGCCATTTATAAAGCACAGCTGGTCACAGTTTGGCTTAAGGGAAGGCTATGTGAGACTAACAGAAAATAACGTCAGAAAGGTGGGTAGGACCGCAGGGCTCTTATGCCTGGCTAACAAGTTAGGAGATTAACATAAATATTGCTATACAAGCAGTCTCCAGGTTACAAACATCCCACATGCCTGCGACTCATAATTTAAAAACGGAGTCATAGGAATAGGTACATGTACCTGTTCCAACTTACATACAAATTCAACTTAAGAACAAACCTGCAAAACCTATCTCATTCATAACTTGGGGTTTGCCTGTATATGAAATTACTTACATGCGTGTACCATACTATCCCTACCTGCTCCTTTACCGTACACACACATGAGCATGGCTCCAAGTGCAGTTGGGAGATCATACCTACAATTCCTTATGCCAAATACAGCTGGGTGCCTCAAGTTACAAGCTCACCTCCCACTCTGCCAATTACCTTACTCCCAAGGGCCCCCTGACTTTGCTAAAGTGCCTCCTTTGCTCTCAGGGGTGCCCTCCATCATCTCTATTCTGCAAAGCTGCTCTGAATGGTTAAAATAGTTTCTGTGCCTTAGAAGCAGCCAGACAGACTTTATGCCAGGGAGTAGCCCATCCCAGGGAAAGGAGCCCATCATTTCATCTTCATTGGTTAAGTGGATAAGCTGAGAATGGTCTGCAGGAGGCTTTCTTTGCCAAGGCTAATGAGAAACCTATGAAAACCTGCAGTGAAACACAGGCCAAGATGATCTCAACACAGCTGGACTACACATTACTCACAGCACCCATCGACATCCAAAGCCTGATTGTGGATTCTGTGCAGGGAGTGGTATTAACATGTCACAGAAAAGGTGCCCAAAAGAATGTCCAGGTCTTGGCTCCTTCCATAGAGAGGTCTTATCTACCAACTTCCATGCTGCCTGGGGATGGGGCCCTGCCACTCCCACTGAGAACTTGCTCTCATTGGAAAAGTAGATAGTCCCTGCCTCTTCCCATGAAAGGATACAAAGTAACACATAATCATGAATGTATGTATGCAAAATGTATAGATATGGTCCTCAAACTTAAGCAAGCATCAGCCTCACCTGGAGGGCTTGTTAAAACATTGCCAACTGTTCCCCACCCTCACAGTTTCTGATTCAGTAAGTCTGGGGTAGGTCCAAGAGTTTGCATTTCTTATCTTTTTTCCCCAGAGATGGGATCCCACTCTGTTGCTCAGGCTGGAGTGTAGTGAGGCAATCATAGCTCACTGCAGCCTCAAACTCCTGGGCTCCAGGGATCCTTCTGCCTTAGCCTCCTGCTTAGCTAAAACTCCAGGCATGCACCACCATGCCTAACTTAAAAAAGTTTAGAGACAGGGTCTTGCTATGTTAAACTGTTGGCCTCGGTTATCCTCCTGCCACAGTCCTTCTGAGTGGCTGGGATTACATGCATGTGTCACCAGGCCCAGCAGGGTTTGCCTTACTACCAAGCTCCCGAGTAATTAATGTTGATGCTGCCAGACCAGTCTAAGCACTGCATTTTGCGGACCATTGACAGAGACATAGTTTTAGTCTTGAAGCTGTTTGATGGTGATCAGTTTCTGCACTTGTAGCTAAAGAGACCAGAATCACTTCCCCCAGGTACATGCGCAAATCATCCCTAGCCTCCCACAGCTGTCGCTGCCATGGCAAAGTCTGATGGCAGGTTGGCTGCTCTGCCTCTTAGATTCAAAAGCCACCGAGTGGTTTTCTTCAGAGTTCTTCCTCCTCCCCTCTTGCCATGCCTTGAATCCACCCTTACATGTACGTGAACATGCGCTCACACACACGCTCTTCCACATGATTACAGCCCACTCCGCTCTTCCCAGACACCCCTGGCTACAGTGTGTGGTTAGAAGAACAATATCAAATCAAAAGTCAGCTGCACGCATTAGCCAGCACATGTCCACAGGGCTGAGCATGAGAACTTTATAATGATCTCTTCTCAAAGAAATCAAGCTATGGGTAAAAAAGGCAACAAAATGGAAAATAAGACCCCCCTCCCTTCAATTCTAGAATGGTTTATTTTAGTTCTTGGTGATGATAGTTAATTACTATATTCTTAATGCCATAATGCATAATATAGTTAATTCTATGAGCTCTAACTAGAAAGCAAAGGTTAGGGGAAATCTTTGGGGCTGGTAAAATGTGGAAGAGATGAGCAGATTTGTTTCAAAAGCATTATTATTACAGTTTGTTAAAAAGGTAGCTAAAACTGGCCATGCTTGTCTCCTAAATTTGTAGCATACAGAAAGGCAACACACATCTCTATGTTCATGTCTCTGTGTGTGTATGTGTGGAGATAGATAGATTTGGTGGGGGAGGCAGTTTTCCAGTTGGTCATTCGGAAGAATTTTCAGCAAGAGATACAGTAAGAAACCAAAGGAAGCAAGCCTAATGGGAGGAGTTAATTTATCTGGGATTTTATTGTTGAGATAGAGCCCAAGGCATTTCATGGGTTGAGTATTCTCTAGACCTTGGTTTGAGGTTCGTTAACGTCATCATATACGACAAAGGCACAGCCTAGAAATGCAAAGCACTTTACCAATTGCTCTCCTTGGATAGAGAACTATTTAGAGATAAGATTAAATTCGTGTGGGCTGATTAGCTAAACATTATCTGGTACAAACTGTCCATCACCTTGAAAGAAATTGATAAGCACATCATTAACTCATCAAGATTTCTACACAGGGGGCCTTTTATCAGAAGACCGTCCAAGCTATGATGAAGTGTCACGAATAGTGTCCAGGAAAGTGCACAATGGAGTATAGAACGGGGACACACAAAAAGCTGTACGCAGAAGAAAGGTTTGGCACACCGGTGTTTTGTCTTGCATAACCCAGCAACTTAAACTTCCTGGGGCCATAATCTGATAAATTGAGAGAATCTCAATCTGCCAATTGAGAGAAAGTTGCCCAACCCATTTTCTGTCTGATTTTTCTGTCTCTTTTCTGTAGGACTTTTGACTCTCACAGCGATGGTAAGCTGCTTGCACCTGATTGAAACTTTTCTGTTCTTGCCTTTGGAGGCTTCTATATGAGTTTATACTAACCAATGTGTGTTCGAGAAATGTGTTAACTTGAATTAAAGGCTAAGACCCATGACAGGGACTTCATAGCTCTTAAAGCTTTAAGTGATCAAACTATGAGGCAGGGAAACATTCATTCATCCAAGGGTCTTGAAAGTGAGTTTGAACTTGCTCAGTAGTCTGGTTGTGCCCAGGGACAAGCAGGCTGTTATTCCCTGGGTGGCATCATTCCTTCCAGAAGGCAGGGTGGGCCAAGTCAGAGACCCATGAGCAGGTGGTAACCATAGAAACAGCTTCAGAAGCTACACTAAACAGCACACTGCTGGCTCACAGGGAGGTGAAACCTCTAATGAATGACACCCAGAGCCGTAACCTGAGCATTTTTCATCCTGGCTTTCGAAGAGCTCATTTTATCAAAATGGTTCAAATAAATGCTATCGGGGCTTAGAAAGGAATTCATGACTTAAAATAAATGAATGAACTGTCTGGTTTACATTATTGGTAATAGTAGCATACAATTAACTTTGCAGATAGATCCCTATTTCCAAAAGCTATGAGTTCTTCCTTATGGAATTAGCAGACTTCAAGACAGCCAATGTAAATACTGAACTAGTCTGAATTACTGAGTATTTCTAATTCTAAAAGAGTGCTACTCTTATTTGTGAAAAACTATTTTTTCTTTCACTGGGAAAACCTTTAATCAGTTTGTAGGCCCAATTCATTTTTCTTAGTTATGCTAACTAGGTAGGGAGAGGGCCATTTAGTAATATAAAATGGGTGTTTACAAAGTTGTAAAGCTCATACGTGATAGCACTTGGCAAACTGCATATGTGCACCCAGGAGGAAGAAAAAAATGCAAGCTTTTATTTTTTATTGGCTACCAAACGCCAAGTGGTTACATCAGCTCTGTATCTGATCCCAAATCTCCATAGATCAGGGGAGGGGGCTCATCACCGTGAGCTCTGAAGTGGAATGAGAATGAGACACCAGGCTCCAGGGCCATGGGCTGCTGGTGACAGGCAGTACACTGTTTTGAAACACCACTTCTGGTGATGTGTAGATCCATCCATCTGTGGGTTGATTTGAGATAAACACCAAAAAGGGGCTGCAAAGAGGTCTTAGTAAAAAGTTGTTTCCAAGGAAGTCACTTTGATCTAGTTGATCTTTAAGATCTTTTTCAATCCTGAGAATTGTTGATTTGATGAATTAGAAATACTCAGTAATTCAGACTAGTTCAGTATTTACAGGGCTCCTACCATGTGCTGAGTCATTAGAAGTACAAAGATAAGATGACTCACTATTATAACGCGTGTATTGGATGCCTTCATTTCCATGAGGAATTGCAAACATGATCTCTGGAAGAGTGAATGACCTTCCCAGAGATACACTTACCAAAGGAAAATAAAAGCAATGTGGCCCTGTGCTAAGTCTTTTTGCCTATCCAATCCGTGGCAAGGATGGTTAGAAACTTTCATCATAGATCAATGGCACCATAATGAAATGTGTTTTCACTATTGGCCAGTTGGCTGTGGCCATTTTTCTGAATCACTTTCCAGGTAGGTCACAAAAGTACAGGCTCCACATTCACCTATGAGAGCTGCCACCCCAGTAGAGAGAGTTTTGGGGTTTTATCCCCACCTTGCTTAGATTGGGTTGCCTGAATCTACCCATCTATTTATGTAAACAGCTCCTGTTGCCATAGTATCTCAGATCTTAAGGTCTGGAGATTTCTTGCCCTTATATCTTGAAGGGCTGATAAGCATAATAATATCCAGGGTCAAGGAGTAAAGAAAAAGTTTATATGTTATGTGGCTTTTAGATGTTGAAATATGCTCTAATAGATTGGTTATCACTGTCATTACAGAAACAGAATCTACACAGATTGCAAAGTGCTTTATGTATCATCCTTTCAGAGTGATAAGATTAAAAGGGGAATGGATGGCATTTTGCTGTAAAGAGTATGGCTGTTAACACATTCTGAGGGGAGAGACTAATGTGTGTAAGATCAATATCACCTCTTCCACTGCTCTGCAACTCAGAATAAGAATAAGTTATAAAAGTTGAATTTTCGAAAAAAATGTGTTATTTAATTAACTTTTTTGTAGAGACAGGGTCTCACTATGTTGCTCAGGCTGGTCTCCAGCAATCCTCCTACCTTGGCCTCCCAAAGTTTAAGAATTACAGGCCTATTGTTCACCCATAGTCAGTCATGTACCAAGGTTTTTTTGTTTTGTTTTTTTTTAGACAGAGTATCATTTTGTCACCCTCGGTAGAGTGCTGTGGCATCACAGCTCACAGCAACCTCTAACTCTTGGGCTTAAGTGATTCTCCTGCCTCGGCCTCCTGAGTAGCTGGGACTACAGGCACTCGCCAGACTGCCTGGCTATTTCTTTGTTGCTGTTTGGCTGGAGCCGGGTATATGGGGCCGGCGCCCTACTCACTGAGCCACCTGTGCTGCCCAATGTACCAAGGTTTTGATGAGAATATTTTTAATTTACCTGCCAGTTATTTGGCTTAATGTGAGTATGTGGAACAGGCATCCTCAAACTACGGCCCGTGGGCCACAGGCAGCCCACCTAGGACATTTATCTGGCCCACCGGGTGTTTTTGCTGCTGCTGCCTGTCCTGCTTAGCAGCCGACTAGTCTAGAGGCCCGCAGTCCAGCCCTCCAACGGTCTTAGGGACAGTGAATTGGCCCCCTGTTTAAAAAGTTTGAGGACCCCTGGTAGAATATTCCATGAGTCTCATTTCTATGGCACAGCAATAGACACTTTAGAAATATTAAGAGGCAACGGAAATGGCACAGTTGTAAGAAGGTGTGCTTTCCTGTTCTGTGTGGAGTCTGAGTCCGTTCTGCATGTGACTCAGATGGGGATTGTGGACTGGCTATTCTTGCTCTGCTTAAAGGTAGTTTTGCTCTTTTGGAGAACAAATTCGCCCATCAAGGCTTGAAGGCAGGGACAATGACTCAATTAATGCTGGGCTCTTCGTAGAACACGGCCTGGCACAGGGTTAATGCTCAATAAATGTTTTCTGATAACTATTTTATCATATTTTAGTTAAAGAATAATCAAACACAGGCAGGGCCTTACAAATGTACACATAGAGCTATTGCTATTATCCTTGGAAATCTGTCCTTTTTCAGATGGTGTGGGAAGCCCTTGCCTTCCTAACGTTGCTCTTCACTCGGATGATTCAGACCTCCCATGAATGTAAAATAATCATTGCACTGAAGCTGTGTACCTGAGGTGGGAATCGTATTGGAGGGGTCCATGTCAGGACATCTGATTTCCATTCCTTCTCTCACCTGAAACGAGACACACAGAGAAATAAGGAGAAGTGGATCTTGCTAACTTGGATGGAAAGTGGAGCTGCTGTTTGGGAAAATATCACTTAAGAGAAAATAAAAACCTTGAGGCCTTCAGGATTTCTCCCTCTCTGTCAACATTCATTTGTGGACAACATCCGATTGTCTACAACATTCTTTACAAGTGCTCCCAAATCTGTCCCCTAATCGCCAGGGCCTCCACCTCCGCCTAAGTCCTGGCCTCTGTTATTCCTTGTCTGGAATGTTCCAGGACTCACCAGCAGCACCACCTGCTGTCCCAGGCGCTAGCTCCTCAGGGTGGCCTTTCTCAATTGGTGGTTACGCTATGACAATTCTCTGCCCCAATTCTCAGTGAAGGCAGGGATTTTTATGTGTTGTTCATCATTGGGACCCCCAGAGCCTAGAATAGTGCCTGGCACAATAGATGCCCAACAACAAATAAATTACTACTCTGCACTGACTTCCCCATAAAGTCCATCCTCCTCAGCATGAACCAAGAGGCCAACAAGCATTCTGAACTACTAGCCCTTGGCCAAAGTCTCCGTATTCTCCCTGGCATCCATGCCCAGGCAGTTACCTCTATTCTCCCTCTCCACTTTCCTTCCTTCCATTTTCTCACCTGCCAGCCACCTGGCCCAACCTTAGCCATCCTTCAAGGCTAAGGTCATGGGTATACTTTGGAAAGCCATCCTCGGCTTTCTCCTGTCGGGTTTAGTTTTTTTTTTTTTTTCTTTTGTGTTCATAGAAGACCCCAGAGAAAGTTTAATGACTTATTACATTGTCCCATACTTGCCTGGTGACTTATCTGCTTCTCTACCAGATTGAGTTCTTTGGCACAAGCCATGTATTTTATTTATGTTTTTATCTCTCATGCCTGCTATCCATCTACCATCCGTCTATTATCTGCTCTGAGTATGGCCTCACTGAGCTTGCCTTTTAATGGTACACAACAGATACTCACTAAATGAATAAATGCAACATGAAGGAACGTACCACTGCCTCTTAACAGAGGATAATGATAGCGATACTAACATAGAACTCATGGTATGCCAGAAATCATCATAGGTGCTTCACACTTATTAACTTATTATACTATAATAACTCCGTGAGGAAGGACTACTACTGTCACCGTCTCCCAAATTAAAAAGCCAAGGGCACAGAGAGGTTAAGTACCTTCTCATTGACTCAGAGCCAGTAAGGGAAGGAGTCCGGATTTGAACCCAGAGCCAGTTTCCTGCCTCACTGTGCTGTGGTGCCTCTCAGGGGCATCCTCATTGCTATGATATTAGTTAGAGAGCATGGGACAAGTTGACAAGAGAGTCTTTCACGCTGTGTCTCTCGGGGCAGAGGCCTAGGCCATCAGCTCGGCCTCCACAACTTAGAATAAATCTCACCCTCTTTGGTGAAATAAGGAGGCAAGGTTGTCATTAGGACCAAGTTTTTCTGAACCTACCTCAATCCCCAGTTCTGACAAAGAAGATAGCAACCTTCAAGTTAATCTTGAGTCCTCAAAGGAGTGCAGGGTGCCCTATCTAATCTCAGCAGGAAGTATCAGAAAGAGACGCCTGAGATAAACAAGCAAGGTATGAGTCCACAGTGGGGTGTTCACCAAGGCGTGACCTGGCTTCGAAGGGCTGGTTCAGACTTTATCATGGTTCTCTGTCTTTCTTAACTTTCTCTCCAGATAACAGGCTCCCATGAATGAAGAAGAACTCGCCTGAGATTAGAGAAGGGTATGAAGAGTCTGTCTAGCATCCCAACAGATTGGGCACAGGAGGTGCTGGGTGTCCCTGACGTCCTATGAAGCCAGGGTGCTGGTTGCTGAGGTAGCTTTGCAACCTCAGGGGATCTGCTTCCAGGCACACGCTTGATCCTTCACCCTCCCCCAGCCTAGCTGGACTAAATTTCTTTCTTTCTTTCTTTCTTTCTTTTTGCAGTTTTTGGCCGGGGCTGGGTTTGAACCCGCCACCTCTGGCATATGGGGCCAGTGCCCTACTCTTTTGAGCCACAGACGCTGCCTTGGACTAAATTTCGAATGTCTGCAGCAGCTTCCATCACCTCTGCAGCCCTCGGCTACGCGGAAGGTTCCAAAGATTCAGCCATAGGAGTGACCCCTGTTTCATTTGCATGCTCTTCAATCACAGAAAACCTTTGCTTACCTCAAACTTCCCTTGGGGTTTTGGCCACCTGGTCAGGTAGTTGCTATTCCGGTAGGTGTACAGATAGGGGTTCTCCTGCAGAGAAATGTACATGTTGTAACCATGACCCAGAAATCTGGACCTCTTGATTATCAGGCTTTATCACCCAGCAACACCTTTGTCCACCTTGCAACATTCATATAATCCTTTCCATAAGGACCAAACCATTCTCTGGCCTTTCTTCTCTCTGCTGCCTGTCAGGTCCCTGAAGCTCATTATTGCTTTAAAGTTCCCATTTACAATGGGACGAGCCGGGCTCCTGCTCTCCACCCTGAAAGGTCTTGCTGCCAAGCTAAGAATGTGTATTTCAATGAAAGGAGAAGCTAATTTTGAGCTTCTCAGCAGCCAAAGCAAAAAGGGAAACAGAGTAAGTTATTTGCTTCTTAATAATGGGAAATAATTAAAAAAATTTGGCTTTCATCAGGAAAGAAAAAAGGAATCCCATTCATTTATTGTATGGTCAGTTATTTGTTCACCTATTCATTTGGCAATATTATTATATATGCTGACCACTTATTAGATTCATATTTGAGATGAAGCCAAATGATCCACCCTCAAGACTACTTAGACACTTATCATCCCTACCTCCTCCACCCCCAGATAGAGGAAGGTCTTGAGTGGCATCTGGGACACAGGCCAGGGCCCCAGAGAAGAGGGGTAGGAGTAGCATTTAGGGCCAGGTGCGTGGTGGCTTTGTCCCTGTGCCTTCCACAGGTGTGGAAGGGGCCTTAGTTTTGCTAAAACTTCTCTCATGTCCCACAGTGTAAGCCTTAGTGCAGCTGTGTTTGCAAAGCTGTGCCCAGGCTCAGAAGAGCAGAGCCAAGACTCCCGTGGGCTAACTTCTCAGTTGGGTAAAGCACACTTGGCCACCCCATCTTTCTCCTATATTCAGCAGGAGATTCCCTCCCCAGCCCGGTGCCTCCTACCTGAGAGGGACACTTCACTGGCCTCTTCTCTTTTGCACTGACTAGCTCCACTTTCTGTCCTGCTGGCTCCATCTAGAAAAGAAAGTGATCTTTAGAGCAGAAAACGCCCAGCCCGGTGGCAGGCTTCCATTGTACCACTGAGAAAGACTTATTAGACCAGTGTTTCTCAGCACTTCTGCACCAGCAGCATCACCTGCTAACTCACTAGAAATCCAGTGTCCTGCCTCCATCCCAGATCTACCAAGTCAGAAACTCTGGGGGGAGAGCAAAGCACCTGTGTTTAAAGGAGCCCTCAAGGTGACTCTGATGCACACTCCACTTTGAGAACTGCTACATGAGAGGAACCATTGGAAGGACTTCCTGTCTTCCCCTTCTGATATTATACAAGGAGAAACACCAGCAGAGAGTTCAAAGGAGGGCCCAGTTAGCCCGGGCAGACCTGGGGCGAGGGCAGTGGTATTGTGGGTCCAACCAGATGTCTTGCAGTGGGTCACCAACTTCCCAATCACTGAGGGGCCAGTCATCCAGCGTGGCTTCTTGTCCTTGCTGCCCAGCTCACTGACCACAGAGTTCCCTTTGAGGGGGGAGCCGGCAGGGCAAACACACAACTTTCAGGGGAGCAGCTGTCCTTCCCCCACCCACCTGGCTTCCAGTGTCCATAACTCCCGTGTGTATGAACCCAGGCACAACAGGGAACGAAAATTCTCTGTTTCCCCAGAACGGCTTTCACAGCTTCAAATGAAGCAAATCATGGGGCCTGGCCCAGTCCCACGCCTTTAATGAGGACAAAGAGCTACAGTGACATGGAACACAGCACAGTCCTACACCCGCACAACACCAGGCTATCTAGTGATTCGGGGGCGAGGGGTGTGTGGCAGCTACTTAGATGACAACCCCGAAGGCCACCTAACAAGACAGACGAATGGTGACATGTAGCAGCAGGGGAGGCAGGTGATCAACTCAGGGGAAAGTGTTGAAGACAGGAAGACCAAAGGCAGTTGAAGAATTAGGCAAGGAAATGTCTGGAGGTTCTTTTTGTTATTGCAAAATGTTCATTATACATATAGAAGAACTTAAAAAGAAAAATGCAGTGGCTTTGAGGGAATCACAGATTTTTCTCTTGAATGTTGCCCTTCTCACGCGGAGAACCTCTTGTGTTGCTGTCAGCGGGCCTGTCCTTAGGGGGTGGGGGCACCTCCCCTTCCAATGACCCTCCTGGGTGGGGCGCCCTGTCTGGCTCTATCCCAGATTCTGCCATCCTCCATTTCACCACTATCTCACCCCAGCATCTGGGCTCCAGGAAACACAAAGCAAGCAAAGAACTTTATCCTTCTCAGGATGGGCTCTTAACCCAAATGGAAGGAGGTTCCGATAAGGAGGTATGATTAGCCTCGCATTTGGAAAAGGAGTGCCAGCTCTTTAGCTCCCAGGCTTCTTTCAGTTTTATTCTGACGGTGGCTGTTCCTGAAAATGAAAGGTCCCTCCCAGAACATTCGGGGCTGCTCCCAAAGGGAGTTAGCCTGGGTTAGAGGCCAGGCTGGGGACTGATGGGTCGTGCTACTTTCTCTCGTCCAGTTTTAAGAATTTCATCAAAAGAATCTGGAAGGAAACCTTGAGGGCACCATACCCAAATGATTCTGGTAAAGTGGACACAGCAGAGCGTCCTTTTATAAGGACCTTGGAGAAGGACAATTTATAAGTTTCCCCAGGAAACCCATTTCCATTCAGAACTTTGTCCTAAATGTCTCTGTGAGTCACCTACATCTTTCTCCTCCCACAAACCCCCTTCACACCTCTCTGACCCTCTCTCCTCCTGTATCCTCAGAGATGATGAAAACAATGTAGCCACTTCAACAGCTCCTCACGTGGCCCTGGTTCCCGCCACCCCGGGCTGCACACAGCACAGGAAAGCTGCTTTGCTGCAGGGGCAACTGCTGCAGGTCTGGGCTGTTACTCCACTTTTTGGTCCTGTAATCACCTGCATCTCCTCCGTGCTGCTTCCCTGCTGCTGAAGAATTAATCAGAATGTGGGAAGGATGAGGGGCAGATGTTAAAAATTCCTTCTGAAGAGAATTATCCCCTACACTGTGAGTAACTGCTAAGTTCCTTATCCTGCCCTGTGGCTTCAGAGGGGTGTCCAACCTTTTTTTTTTTTCTCTGCCACACATTGGAAGATTAAGAGTGTCTAAATACACAAACACTAAAGAAAGCTGATAAGCAAAAAGGTTCATGCATAGTTTACATGCTATCCGACACCACAGAGGAAGAAAAGAGACCTCGGATAACCTGCAGATGGCCACTGGGACACAGGTTGGACACCCTGGCCCCTTATACAGCACTTGGAATTAGGTGGGGGTCAGTGATTGCTGGAAGGATCTGGGACTTGTGCACCATCCTTGTATAAGAATTACCAGAAATTATTGAGGCAGAAGCAGAAAGGGCCTAGGGAATGAATTATGTCCCAAATACAAAGTACGCCTCAGCTCTGAGCCGGGCATACAAGCTTCAAGTCTGAGGTCCTCGCTCAGCTGGGAAAGTTCCACGCATGTTTCCGACACGGCCACCCACACCACCACATGCTGGCGTGCGGAGCTTTTCCCTCGCTGGTCTCAGAGCTTACACCTGTGCTCAGGCTGGTCAGGGAGGTGAATGCCGGCATGGCCTGTGCGCAAAGCTCTGTGGCTGCAGGGCAGAGACCACCCTTTCAGAAATGGTGGACCTGGCCCCTGTGCTCACTGCAATCCTGCCAGCCCCTCTCTGCTCCCCCAGAGGTAGGTAGGTAGTGCTCTCTCAGGCTCTGTGCCTGTGAGGGCTGGCACTGGAGAGGCACGCCTGGCTCTCACCTCCGTGGTCCCAGTTCAGCCCCACACAGCAGAGCACATGGAGGCAGAGACAGCTGCCTTACCCTGTGCCGTAGGAGGACACAATTAGTGAGCCCCAGGGTGAGAAAGCGCCCAGTCACTCCTTGTATTCACAGGCCCTCTGCTTAGACCCTTCCAGCAGGTAGAGAGAACAGAGGTCAGAAATGGGACTAGAACCAGCATCCAGGTTGTCCAACTCTCATCCAGTGCCCTTTGCCCTGATTTGTCACATTCCTAGTTTCTCAGGGATGAATTCAGGTCTGCAGGCCCTCTCCGTGTGTCCTAGCAGCTGTGCTTTCTCTGGGAGCTATGGATGGTCTGGCGTTTTGCTTGTGAGGAAACTAGGGGACAGGCACATTTAGGGGAAACCCTTCTACCTTCTCCCTCCTCCTCCCCCATCCCCACTGGGCAATAGGAACCTCAAGGGGCTTGTCCGGGGAAACTGGACTTGTCTGTGGTCAGACAGGCCAGGAGAGAGTGGGGTTAACTACCCAATAGGCCAGCCACTGCTTCCTCTTTTGAGCCTGGTGACACTTTCTGTGTCCCAGGCCACTGGCCTTGAGTGTGAGACCCCTGCTCCCCTCTGTGCCTGCCCATCCTGCCCCTCCAGTAGGTGTGCAAGGCCTGTTCATATGCACAGGACATGGTCTCATTGGGTAGTTATTATCACTGCAGCCACCAGCACTGAGGACAATAGCAAGATGAAAGGAGAGAGAGAGAGGGACCCAGCCCTTTCCCTGGACCTGTCCTCTCCAGCTTCTCTGCCTTGGCCTCCCCATCCCCACACAACCTCTCTGATCAGACCAGCTTCCTTCATGCTGCTGCCCTTGGCCCATTCTCTTCTCCATGCTCTTTGCTCACAAAGGCCCCCTGGCCTGGGAATGCCCTCCCTGACCTCCAGCAACATGTCCCACAAAACCAGCTCAACCCCCACCCCTTTGTGGCCTCACTGTCCATATTGCTTCTTGGTGTCCCACCCCGCACTGCTGGCCGAGGCCACATTTACTTTTGTCCCTCTGGGTTGTCTGACTGCCTCCAGCTACACCTGAAGCTCAGTGGGGACAGAGGCCATGTTTGGTGTTTCCTTATATCCTCCCTGGCACCCAGCACGGGACAGGCTACATTGTAGACATCTCTTTGCTGGTTGGGAGGGAGGTGACATGGCAGGAGGAGAACTGTTTGGCTGAGCTAGAATCATCAACCCTTCTTTGCCCAGAGAGGGTGTTGGGAGGGCAGCCCCCACTGGAGGGGCGGGGATCCCTCTCTCTGCCCCCATGGGAGATCAGCAGCAAGGTACATTTCTGGGGGAACCAAGGATCATCCCTGTTCAAAGAAATCAAATGTCTTCTTCAAAAGGTGGCAAGACCTCTGATAAGGGCTGCTTGGCCTCTGATAATGGCTGCCCTCCCTCCTCCTTGCGCCTCTGACATGGTGAAATGCAGCTGTTCCAGACTCAATATAGCACATCAGTTGAGGAGAGAAGTTTTTCTAATCCAAGGAAAAAGAAAAACAAATTTCTGTCACTAGCTTTCTAAAATAGAGCAGATTGGATGGTGAAAAAAATAAACGGCAAAATCGGGTCTCTGTCTGGTGCCCTGGAAAGGCTCAAAGTCTTGACGTCATGTTCCAGCCACTGACTAATCCCAGATATCCCTGGGGGACCTTTAGAATGTGGGGAAAGCCTGTCACATTTATGGCAGAAAGGCTAGCACATGCTGAGTACTCAGCACAGGCCAGGAGCAGGCCACACACCAGACACCTTGGGCCGGGAGGTTGAAGAAAGGGAAGTGAGAGCCCGACCCGAGGATTTGAACCCAGGTCTTTATCACAATGAAGTCTGTGCTCACCCCAGGCACCACCCTGGGCCTTCAGAACTGCACAGTGCCACCTGAAGGTACAGAAAAGCTGGCTAGGAAGGGTGACGGGAGCCCATCCCTAGGACCCTACTCAAAGCAACGTCTTCCACAGACTCTGAGGAAAAGGTCCAGCTCCTGGGGTAAGGCAGTCAAACTCCCAGGCGGTCAGAGCCGCACTGTCACCTGGTGTAAGAGGCATCCCTGGTGGCTCATAGCCATCATCCTGGGTCCTCCTGGTGCCCTGCAGCCCCTCCCCGGAGCAGGGGGTAGAAGAGTGGGAGTGGCAGTGACCCCATGCCCCTCTTCTGGGCCACACCCCCAGACCCCCCAGCTCCACCACTCACCATCCTGTTCCAGAGGCTCCAGGCAAGTGTGGTGGGATCCTGGGTCAGGGGCTCCTCCTGAAAGAACCAGATTAAGAGAGGAGTCCTTTGCTGTCCCAGGAATGCGGCAGATGTGCCGACACTGTGACTCTCCCCAGAGTGGCACGGGGTGGCCCTGACCCACAGGCCCTTTCCCTCAGCGCCCCCTTTCAGTAATGGAGGCAGGAATGGGACCATGTCTAGAGCCAGGGTTGGCAGTCAGAGCCTGCAGGAGCTGGTCAAACATCCAGTTGCTCAGAGTTATCACAGAATCCTCCAAAACTGAAGAGCCAAAGGGGCAAAGGAGAGGGTGGCAGGGAAGTGAGTCGGGTGTGGTCTGAGCAGGATGAAAGGAGGGGATGGAAAGCTGATGCTCCTCCTCCTTCTCCTTCTAAACCAGAGGTTCTCAACCTGTGGGTTGCGACCCCCTTTGGGGGTCAAGGGACCCTTTCCCCTTTCACAGGGGTCACCTAAGACCATCAGAAAACACACATTTTGGCTCTGCGCCTGTAGCTCAACCAGCTAAGGCACCAGCCACATACACCTAAGGTGGCAGGTTCGAATCCAGCCCGGACCCGCCAAACAACAATGATGGCTGCAACCAAAAAACAGCCAGGCATTGTGGCGGGCACCTGTGGTCCCAGCTACTTGGGAGGCTAAGGCAGGAGACTCGCTTGAGCCCAGGAGTTGGAGGTTGCTGTGAGCTGTGATGCCATAGCACTCTACCCAGGGGGACAGCTTGAGGCTCTGTCTCAAAAAAAAAGAAAACACATATTTCCAATGGTCTTAGAAACCGAGACACCACTCCTCATGTGCGGGATCACAACATGAGGAGCTATACTAAAGGGTTGCGGCACTAGGAAGGTTGAGACCCACTGTTCTAAACCATCAATTTAAACATCTTTTGAGGCCTAGAGGTGGCACAAGGATTCCCCCAGGCTGGAGCCAGGAGCCTGATGGAGGACCTGTTCTCAGACAGGGCAGGGAGGTCAGAGGCTCCAGGGTCCTTCCTTGGTCTACAAATGTGGACCTGGCCACAGAGCCACAGCATGTGGGTGGCCCTTTCCCAGCCCCCCTCCAGGGATGGCTGCAGAGGAATGTACACGGGGAGGGGGTGAGCCGGTGCCCCCAACATTCTCCTGAATAACCGTGGTAGCTAAGAGGGGCCGAGTGCTCCCTCTAGTCATCGACTCACTCCATCTTCACATCCGCCCCAGAGGGAGGAATGCTCTCCGATGGGCTTGGTTTCACGCACGTGGAACCAAGGCACAGAGAGCTCACAACGTGCCCAGGGTCACACAACCGGCCCATCCCAGAGCCAGTGGCCCGAGTCCATGCCCTTCACCTCAGGGCTACTCTGCCTCGAATCGCCTATCCCAGGGGGCGGGGCAGCCTGTGGGCCACCACACAGGAGGGTAAAGAGAACCCTGCCGTTCCTGAAACTGTGTGCCCTGGGCTCAGGGGGCTGAACTGGGCTGGTCTGCAGGGGGAGGGCGGAAGCGGGGGTGGGACCAGAGGTGTGGCACAGCCTCCCCCCACCGGCACCCCAGCGCCCATGCAGCCCTCACTCACCAAGGATGGTGACAGGGTGATTTCATAGAAGAACGGCTGGAAAACCACGGTGAAGAACTCCTGCTGGCTGAACTTGCTGGAGGCCAGGAGGCTCTCCCAGGCTTCCTGGGGAGGGACAGAGAGGTGCACACCAGGAGCCTGAGCCAGGCGGAGCTGCCCAGCCTGATGGGAAGCTTCTCAGCAGCCCTGTCAGAATCGCCCACCCTGCTGAGAAGCTCCCTCTGTCTCACTCTTGAGGGCTCTTTGTTGGCTAAGTTGAGTTTTCCTTTGCCTCTGAAGCCCCAGCATGAGGTACTGCCGGAGATGTGTCATCTGAGAGCTCAGCAAGGACAAGCCTGCCCAGCACATCACTGGGGCCCTGTGTTCTCCTCAACACCTTAGTTCTGTAGAGGCACATGCCATTAACTACCCAAGAAATGCCGTGTCCAGAGTGAGAAAGGGAAAAATTGTTATATTAACACACACCAGTCGGAATCGTGCTTGGAGCTGTTTGCTGATAGGGACGATGCCTTCAGTGAGCCTGCCATACTGTCCTGGGGTCTCTTCTGCAGGCCAGAATGTAGGTCAGCAGGAGCCCGGCCTGCCCTTGGGCTATAGTCTGGGGAAACCAGCTCCCCAGTCACAGAGGCAGCCTTCTAAGTGGCAATGGTGACCAAAAGCGTTTTGGAATACTTGACTTTGCCAAGTTCTTCACCACCGTTTACCTGAAGTATTGCTAGCGTCCCCGGCTCCCACACCACCAGTATTATAGCCCCTGTTTTATGTCTGGTAATACAGAAATCGTCATTTGGAAGTGAACCAGGAGTGGCTCTCTAGTTCCTGACTTAGTTCTGAATTCAGTGGGAGAAGGTCCATGTTAGCAAACCCAGCTAATATTTCCTGCCATCCTTGTTCTCCTCTGTGACCACCCAGCATGGTGGGCTCCCAGAGTGGGCTCACCTGGTAGGACCACTGCTTTATGACCTTAGCCAGCTTGGAGGTCTCCTCTGGGCAATTGCAGGACTCTGGTGTGGGGCTGCAGGTTAAAACACGCTGGGAATGAGAGAGCTGGAGGCCGTGGAGGGGGGAGGTGCAGGGGGTCAGGGGACAGGGAGGGGGTGCAGCCAGGCACCCCCTGGCAGGAAGAGGGGGCTGGTGGGTTGCTTGCAGAGTGGGGAAGGAGAAGCTGGAGCCGCAGAGGTACGGAAGGAAGAAAGCAAATGTTGGGAAGATTGGGGGGGCCTCCTGGAGGTAGGGATGGGTTTGGAGAGGCCCTTCCCCCCTCCCCCCATTGCTCCTGACAGCAGGAGCCACATTCCACCCGCCCTTTCCCCACCCTGTGCTCTCCTCGCTGCCACCTCAGAAGCTCCTTCCCCTGGTACCCTCCTTCCTGTCACCCTCCTTCTCCAGCCACCCTTGCCCTTACTTTGTCCATATTAATTTCTTTTCTGGATTCAAAGCCGGAATTCTTAGAACTGGCTCCAGAATATTTAAAGTCTATGAAAACTCTCAGTAATATATCAGAATCAAGTCCTATGAAGTTAAACTGCATCTAGGCTATGTGTTTTTCTATCCAATTTCCGGAAGGGACACTTATGGCTCATAGATGTTTTGCTAAACCTTAACCCCTCAGATCCTTTTGGCTGGGGTAGGGCCTCTGGCACTCTATCAACCAGACCAAAAGTTTTCTTTGACTCAGTACCCAAAACAAATTCGAACTCTGTCACTGACTTGTGTATGAGCTCAGGTGTGTCCCTGCCCCCCTCGGCCTTGGTTCTCTGCATCCCCTTTATAGGACTGAGGCATGTGTGGTGCCCCATGCAGGCCTGGTACATGGTAGCCATGTGACAGGTGCTGGTCCTCTTGCACTTCCCTTTTTACCTGAGCTGAGTCCCCTGCAGCCAGTGAGAGATCTTTGCCACCTCGGAGAGATCCACCAGGTTTACAAAGGCTTTGGGGACCTAGGGGGACACAGGGAGAAGGCGGCAGATGTTTGCTGAGGTACCTGGTCTAGGCCCTGTTGGGGGTCCACAGCTGTCAGCTGTGCCATCCCAGAAACACATCTCACTGTCCCTCCAGTGGGCAGGGTGCCTCCCACCACAGTGTCAACTGGGGAGCAAGGCCATAGTGCCAACAGCCTGCAGACCCTCTGCAACAGAAGAGCTGCCAACCCCAAGGGAAGGGGGCGGTGAGAGCACAGCAGGCCCTTGGATTCACAGAACTTGCAGCAGCATCATAGTCCCTCTGGAAAGAGGGGCCTTAAAGGTCATCAAGCCCCCTCTGACCCATCATTGCTCCAGACTCTGTCAGAGAGAGGCCTCGGGGAAGAGTGGGGTCAGAGTTCCCAGTGAGGAACTGGGTCTCCCTCAGAAACATCCTTTGGAAGAGTGAAGTGCTCTATCCTGACCTGTGTTTTT